ATGGCACCTGTTACTGGGTCTTAAATAAACCCGTCAAAAGTGACCCAGAGTCCAGGAAGAGGACGTTTTACTTACAGTGCACTCTTCACTGTTCTACGGAGGTATTCAAAGCAAGTATTAAATGATTCAATTCACAAAATGATTTCAGCTGTGTGGCGGTGCAAAAGTTAGTGGGGCCCTGGGTTCAGTTGGAGACCTAGGGTGCTGTCTGTGTGGAGTTTGTATGTTCTCCTCCTGTTGATAGGGGTTTCCTCTCCCCGTCCAAAGACATAGCGGCAGGTTGACTGGCTTCTGGGAAACCTGTCCCTGCGGCGAGTGTCTCTGTGTCTGTTCTGCAGCTGTGAATGAAAAGTGGGTAGCAAATGGCTGATGTCAGCCATCAGTGAGGTCTTCTCTGGTTCAGGGACTGACGGAAGTACAGGTGATCACGCTGCAGTTGCAGAAATGCAGCGAATCCCAGTAGGACAAGGGCCTGGAAGACTGTGGGTGTGTGCGTGTACGTAATGGGATTGCAGAGGTATGATAGTGGTGAGCGAGGGGAGGGTCCGGAATGCAGGTTTATCTTACTGGGAGAGGCAGGGAAGGGAAAGGCTTTGCTGAGGGATCTTCCAGCACTGTTGCAGGGTGAAGGAACAAAGCACAGCAGCCTGTTCTAGAAGAGCAAGGCAGTTGGACAGTGGTGCGTCTTGCTGTATCCAGAACGCAGTGTGCACTGTTCACTGGGAGTACTGTGTGTGGGGGGGGAGGAGGTCTAGAGATTTTTTTTTTTTTTAAAAGGTACTTGCTTGTTATGTTCTGTTCTTATTTTGAAACCTGTACTCTTCCCAGGGCAGTTTTATAGACGTGGCCTTGACAGAGTTAAGCTAAACAGTACTGGAATACCGGTGTAATCCCAGAGCCTGGTTTATGGCAGAATGCTAAAAGGAAGGAGGTGGCAATAAACCTGGCACTTTAGGTATTCATTAGCTGCAACCAGCTAACCTTTTTCTTTTTTCTTTAAAGGAAGTGATCGGAATTTACCGTTTGCCCTTGGTTAGTAGATCCCGAAGTCACCCTGGTCCAAAAAAATTCAAGTACACCATTTTGTTTTTGGTCTTTTTAAAGGGGACTGGCTTTTTTGTGCCTCTGTGTTCAATGGACCGGCACTGCAAGGAGTACAAGGCCCTGCTGCTGGCTGATAATGGCAGCAGCCGCTGGGGTGAGGGGTGCGAGGATCTGCGTCTAGTGACCAAAACCACTAAGAGGACACGTGTAGTCCCATTC